GTTGGCCAGGATGGATTCTGAAAATGGAGGAGTTTGGGTGGCGACATCTTGCAAAGTTGTATGCCTGGCCGCGGCGGTGGGAATGGGATAAAAGCGGAGAGGTGAGGTGGAACTGGGTGGAGGATCTGTCTCTGTGTGTGTTGGTGGGGAGGTCTGTGCGGCTAGGTTGGGATCCAGGAAGTATGCCGCTGGGGGAAAGCGGGCCATGGTGTCAATGGCGTTGAGAGCCAAGCGCGTGTGGCTCTGGATGCGTTGTACGTTGTTGTGGTAAATGGCGATGAGCCGCTGGACAGGTGGTGGAAGTGTGTCAGTGAGAGGTTGATGTCCGATAGGGGTGTCGGTAAGGGCGTTGAGGCTGTCCAGGTGCTGGTGAAGAACGAATCGGTGGACATGAAGGTCCGTGAGGATGCCCATCAGGGCATGTGGTGGTTGGAGGGTGTATACTTCGGCCCAAAACGATTGGTCTGCCGAGATGTTGGTGGTGGCTGATGGTGCAGGTTGCGAGGTTGTGGGAACTGGATTTGGTTGAGGCTGCAGCGGGGGAGGTGGATCGTGCGTTTGTGAAGGTAGTTCCTCCGGATCTTCATTGAAGAGAAAAAGAACCTCAGACTGCTCATCATAATCGGCGGTGCTCTCCATTGAAAGGCAAGAGTGGAGGCTGTGCACTGTTTGTGGTAACGATCACGAGTTTGAAAAATGGCTGCGGTCAACATGGAACTTGAAAGGCAGAACAAAGTCTCGATCTAAGTGTATTGTGCATTGAAGACGGTCAAGACAAAGTCGAAAGTGAATAAACCGAATGGAGACTGTGTTCTTTTTGGTCATCACACGATGTGTGAGAATGGTGCTGGGTGAAACTATGAGCTGCTGCGGCGTGAATTGAGCTCGGCGGCTTGACGAGCAACCCGCAGGATGGTCTGTTGGAGCGTGGCCGCTTGTTGCTCTGTTAGCGGTGCGTCTGGAATAGGAGGCACCGGTGGGAACACTGTAGTGGTATTGGTGGTAGTGGTTGGGTGGAAGTGAGTTGGCGGCGCGGGACGTGACGTGGCTGGTCGTCGAGTGGAATGTGCTGTGGGATTGAGGTAGTGTTTGATGTCAGTGGAAAAGTTGAAGGGTAGAAGTTGGCCGTTCCGGTGGGGACGTGGAATGGTGACCTGTAAGGGGATGCGTGTAGGTGTTGCTGAATGTGGAGCGTGGTACAACTGTGGGGGGCCCACCCAGGTGGTATTGATTGGTGGGTGCCCCGGACGTGCTTTGGGCAGGATGGGAACATTGGTGGTGAGGATGACAGGGTCCTCAGTGCTGGTAGAGGATGTGGTAGATGGTGGTGCAGGTGGTGCTGTGGGATGCGGAAGTGTAGCTGTGGGCTGTGTTGGTGTTGGTTTGGGGTTTGTCTGTGGCGTGTTCCGTGTGGAAAGGTTCCGGTAGGATGTGTGGGAAACAGGGGGGGCTTTTGCAGGAGGTGATGTGGATGTTGTGGAGGTTTTTTTCCGGTACAGTGCTGACCGGAGGGCAAAGCATGGGAGTATGCTGTGGGGAATCTTCCTCCTTTTTCGTGAGTTCCAACTTGGTGTCGTTGGTGGATGGTTCGACGGGCTCTGCCTTGGTGAGGTGTGGTGCCTCATCTTTCACTTCGATAGACTCTGTAGGAGTGCGATCCCAGTCTGGAGAGTCGTAGTCCATGGGGTGGTGAGAAGGCGAAGTGGGATGTATGTAGCGGGGGTCGAGAGTTCAAATGGCTGCGGAGAAAAATGAGTGACTGCTGGACAGTAAGATGGAGAATGTGTGAGGATAAATAATTGGATGGGTTTTTTCTCCCTGAGCAAAGCGTAATGTGTGAGACAAAGCGTTGTCCGGGCAGCCTCAGGGGGAGGATGACGGCGTGTCAGCAAGCAGGTGGTAAGCTGCTGAAGAAGTGGAAATGGAATTGGAAGCCGTCCAAAGTGCTTGATGCAAGTGTCCGCGGTGGCCGTGAGCTGCAGAAGGTTGGTCTGGGATTGTCTGGTGTCGATGGGTTGTGTGATTTGGCTGTGATAGTGTGGTGAGAGGGAGGCGATCTCGGGAACGAGACCTGGCTCTGCAACTGAATCGGCGAATGAGTGGTGGTGTGTCGATGGGTGATGGTATGGCTGGGTCACGTTGGAAGGTGGCTACGGAGAGGAAATTGGGTTGCTGTGGTGGGATGTCGAGTGTGGGGTCGATGCGGTAGTGGCCAGGGGAACCTGGTGAGCCAGGAATGAATTGCAGCCTGTTGAGTCCACGTCGGGCGTCGTGGGCGGTGTTGATCAAGTGTCGGAGGGTGTTGCGCAGCTGCAGAAAAAGTCTGTAAGCTGGTGTGTTGGTGAATGTAGACATTGGAGGGATGGGATCTTGCACAATGGGGTGATGTTGGAGATCCTCAACGAGTGAGGCGATAGTGCTAATCATCCAGTGGAGCAAGAGTAATTCGGGCTGGTGTGTCACGGATGGAGCCAAGTATGGCATGGGATTGTTCGGTAAGGAGTAACTGTGGTGTGTAGTGGGTGGGTCAGAGGATAGGGTAGTTGTCGCTGAATGAGGTAGTGGAGTTCGTAGATCATCACGAGGCATCATGTCGTAGAAAGGACGAGCGGTTATGAAGAAACAGTTCGGTCAAATGGCTGCGGAACATATGGTGGCATGCGATTGTGAAAAACCATCAAAAGTGAGAGTGTGAAAAGTGGTAGATCGGTTAGATGGCTAAGTTTTTCCGCTCGCCGAGAAATATCAGTGAGACTTGAAAAATGAAGTGTAGCAGCAGCTGTGGCCAGGGATGTCGTCTCAGAGTTGGCAAGTTGCATGGCAGCCGCTGTAGAGCCCGGGTTGGGATGTTGCTGCGGTGCTCAATGTTGTAGTTAGCCACTGCGGTGTGGAATGTTGTCGCGGGAGCGTGAGCGTTCCCTGGTGTGAGTGGCAGTGTTGATGTTGGTGGCCGGGGTAGCTTGTGGCGGGGGACCTGTCCAGTGAGAGTGTAGACGTTCTGCGTCTTGTGGTGGTGTACGTGGTGAGGGAGAGGGTGAACGGCTGGAAAGTCCGGGTGGTAGTGGAAAACCTGGCGGTATGTCGTGTAGAATGGCCAGGTTTCTGCTGGAGAGTGAGGCTGTGGGGTTGATGCGGTATTGCCCTGGGAGGCCTGGGCCGGTGGTAACAAATTGAAGGAGCCGACGAGCCTGGGAGAGGCTATCAATCAGGCGGTCCAGCAAGATCAGGTCACCGCGCATTCGGTAGAGGAGGTTGTATGCTCTCTGGTCCTGAAAATACGTCTGGCTTGGCATAGGTTCAGTGTGAAATGGGTGGTGGCGGAGGTGTTGGTTGACCAAAAAGAGAAGGTCCAAGGAGCTGTTGAGGGATTGAAAGTCAGGCTGAGTGCAAATCGAAGGTTGGAGCCAGCTCGGAGGGCGCTGTGGCAGGTAGTGTTCTGTGTTGGCGGTGTTGCCATGGGGGCGAGCGCGAGGATTGGCCATAACGATTGGTACAAGAAAGCAGGACAAAGTGGCACACAAAAAGCTGCGGAGCTAGAGTGAGCCTGAAAAATGAAAGACCGAAGTTGCCCAAAATTGGTGAAAGTAGACCGGGCGTGAAAAACAACTTGTCAGTGCATGTTAGTGGATTTGTCCTGCGGCACGCCGTAGAGAAAGCTGGGTGAAACGGATCATATGAAATAACTGCCAACGGGCGTAAGTGGAGATTTCTCCGGATGACTGTTCTCACTAGGCTCTCGCTCAGCAGCTGGCGGCAGCAGCACAGCAGCAGGAGGTGATCGATGTGGTGAAGTCGGTGGCGTTGTTTTGGGGGAAGGGGAAAAATCCGGTTGTGAATGCGGTGCTGGGGAAACTGCTGGTGAGGTGGGTGTTGGTGAGAGGGAAGGTGCTTGTCGTGGTGGTTCTGTTGGTAGTGGTGTGGAGGAAAGTTGCTGGTCTTGCTGACGTTGCATGTCTTTGATTTCTTGCCATCGGGCTTGACATTGCTCGACTGAGAAGCCCACTCGGCGAGCCACAGTGACCCAGTTGGGACGAAGTCTGGGGTTTTCTTTGAGTTCGACCAGGCGGCAATCGGCGTCGCCGTCCCACGCGTCCCAGTCCGCTTGTTGGTTCAGTGGTGGTGGGAGTGGTTGCTTCCGCTTGCGTGTTGTAGTAGGTTGTGGAGCTGGGGGTGTTGTTGGTGTGTCGTCGGAGTCTTTTGTGAGTGGTGCTGGTAAACGGATGGGTGGTCGGGATGGTGCTGAGTCACAGGAGGAGGTGGTGGATGGTAAACGTATAGGGTGGATAGGCGGAGTTGGGAGTGGCTGAAAGTGTTGGTGGAAAGTGGGATCCGCTTGGTGGATGTGGTGGAGGAAGTGAGTGTGAAGGTGTGCTACAATATCTGTTGCTTGTCTGAGCAGGTTTTGCACCTGCGAAAGTACCACTGCGGTTCTGTGTAGGAGAGTTGAGGTGTCGTTGTGTAGAGGTGTCAGTGTGCTGCTCATGACTTGGAGATATAGGGATGTACAGTAGCACAGAGTCGTCACAGGTTGCTGCGGCAGCGCGCCAAAGCAGCAGGACAGCAGCTGATCTGCGGGAGCGCGTCATCACGTGGCCGTGCATATGAATTAAACGAGCATCAAATTCCCACGGGCATGGTGCGAAAATGCAAGTCCGATTGAACAATCAACAGGAAGGGTCCCGAATCGATTCGGAACCGTTTGTTCAGAACCGAAACCTCGTGAATGTCAAGAACCGAAATTTTTCATCAACCGAATCATTACAACCGTCAATTATCCCATCACAACCGAACCGGAAAAAATTACGAACCGGAATTCCCCCCTGCTCCGAGATCCGCAACGTTTCTTCGAGGGCTGTCCGAGGTCACAGAAGCATTTGCACATTGGCGTGCCCAAACAACATGTCACTGGCGCGGCCCGGCTTCAAGCGCGGGCGGCGCCTGGTGATGAACAAACCGGCTTTCGAGAAAAGCCGTTCCAAAGCTGCGCTGGAGCCAGGCACTCCAAGAGCCGCTTGCGCAAACTGGGCGAGCACTGGCATCTGTCCTTCATGGCTGCGCCACCAAGACAAAGGGCTTTCTCCTGTGACATTCAGGCGCTCATAGTGCAACATCTCAGCTTCCACTTGCTTGCGAACCTTGCTGCAGTGAGTCAACTACAAATATTCTTTTTCTTTCTGGTTAAAAAAGCATTTAAGGAAGGTGGAGTCATCGGTGGCTTTCGTGTGAAAATGCTTTTTTTGGACAATGGAAAACGCATTTTGCCCCGAAAGATGATTAACGACGAGTCCTGTCAGGGATGGTAAATGCATTTTTGGGTGGAATGCAAACGCATTTTGGCAATTTTCTCTACAAGTGAAACCAGCGTGGAATGGAAACGCATGTTTGATTTTCTCAGAACAGAACCTCAGCAATGCGTGAGCTGCATTGTTGCGGATGACAGAAACAATCTGCAGCAGGGCGGAGCTCCAACGTGTTGGGGTTTCATGCTGGTAGGCAACGCAAGGCACTTCGGCTTGTGCAGCTGCTGAGTACATTTCATTGTACATGTCATCGTGGGAAGCAAAGTATCGCACAATCGACCGGTACCTGCTGAACGACTCCTTCAGCTTTGCCTTGCACTCCACAGAGGCGGGGTCGCCCTTGGGCCCTTTCACACCACCAGGCGCCATGGGTGCCTTCTTCTCAGCCACCTCTGCTTCAGAAGACGAACTGCTCGAAGAAGACGAGCTTTCATCAGAAGTGTCTGATGAGGAAGAGTCCGAATCCAATTTGGCAGCGGCAGACTTCCTCTTTTTGGTCCTTTCTTTCAGATCTGGCAAAGCGTGCTTGCAGCATAGCTGCAAACAATGACATCCACACCCTATCAGGGGCGCACCGAGGCCGCGCAAACCCTTTCGAATCGCCCCCTCGTGGTCTGAAACGGACGCTTGAATGCGCTCTGGCGTCAGCTCCACCGACTCCAACGCTTTCTTGAAAAGCTCTGTGTAGCGATCACCTGCCAGGGCCCAAAGACAAATATGCATTTTCCAGCGTGCAAAAAAAGCATTTCCGCATGCTACCACATTGGCCCGCGCAGGGCCCAACAAGCTCACCCAAGCACTCTCCACGCCAGGGCCCCGCACAGGGGCCAAAAGCAACACCCAAGCATTCGCCAAGCCGGGGTCCCGCACAGAGGCCAAAAAAAGACACCCAGGCACTCGCCACGCCGGGGCCCCGCACAGGGACCAAAAAAACACCCAGGCACTCGCCACGCCGGGGCCCCGCACAGGGGCCAAAA